TAATCTCTCTCCTGGATTTTTATATAAACTTTTTAATTCCTCTTCCTGCCTCAGATGCCTTCCTTCCTCACCCCATGCCACCTTCTAGATCTCATGGTACTACTCTGACCATGCTGCTCTCCAATGCTTACAGAAAAGGCCAGTCTCCTTAGAATGGCATCCAAGGCTCCCTGTAGTCTGTTCCCAACAAATCTTTCTCCTCTATTGCTCACTATTCCCTGCAAATATCCTTTGTTCTAGCCAAACTCAACAGCGAGATAGTCTTTGAACATCCCCACTAGGTAGTCTCTGGGCATCCCATGATCTCAGCCTCTGTGTCTGTTGTTTGTGCTGTTGCATTATCTGCCTGGAATACTGCTTTCTCCTGGGCATGTTCCCATTATCTCAAGGCCTAGCTCAAATGCTACCTCTTCCATGAAGCTTTCCCTGATCTAAACCCAACAAAACAAAATTCAGTGCCATCAAGTCGGATCCAACTCATAGCGACTACCCCTCCTTAGGTTTCCAAGACGGTATCATTACGGAAGTAGATTGCCCAATCTTCCTTCCAAGGAGTGGCTGGTGGGTTTGAACCGCCAGCCTTCTGGTTAGTAGTCAAATGCTTTAGGCACTACACTACCAGAGCTCCTTGCAAGTAATATTTCTTTTCTCAGAGTACTGAAATGCCTCTCATACAGCACTTCCATTTCTATATCAGAGGTTGTCATGCATGTACTGGTCAAGGGCATAAACTCTGAAATCAGATGGACTGAGTTTGATTCCCAACTCTACCACATTATCAGTTCTGTGACCTTGGCCAAATCACTTAGCCTTCCATTTCTCTATTTTCTCATTGAAAAAACGGGGATAATGAAAATACCTACCTCTTACGTGTTGCTTTGGCAATCAAATTATATATTATGTACCTGGCATATCAATAAGTGTTACCATCAATTAATGCTTTTACTATTATCTCCCCTAATAAATAGTCATCTTCTTGAAGATAAAATCTGTGTCTGTTTATCCTTATAACCATAGTGCCTGGTAAAGTACCTTGAACATAGTATGAAGTCAATAAATGTGTTGTGTGAATAAATGAGTTTTGCAAACTAGTCTGATCAATTCATCATCATAAGTTTACCAAGCGCTTATAAATACATCAGTCACTATGTTATGAACTAAGAACATACAGCTGGGGAGGCATTTTTTATGTATTGTCACTTAATATTTACAATGACTGTATGAAGTGGGAATTTCAAAAATCTATTTTAGAGATGAAAGAAAGAAAGAAGAGGCCTGGAAGTCTATTTCCAAAACACCAGCCACTGAAAAACCTATGGAACACAGTTCTATTCTGACACACATGGGGTTGCCATAAGTCAGAGTCAACTTGATGACAAGTGGTACTGGAAGAGATGAGAAAACTAAGGCATAAAAAGGTTAAGCAATATGTCAGTGTCACACAGAGTCAGGATTTGAGTTCAAGTCTGCTTGTCTCCAAATGCCACATTGTTGCTGGGTGGCACTGAACGAGTCATCCTAAATAAATGTCAAGGAAGACTACATTATGAGATCCTTTGTAAAAAGCCTTTTTCTGCTTCAGGAGATTTGCTCCTTGGCCTAACCTAAGCCCCTTGCCCTAAGAGCTGAAGGCTGTTCCTATTGTATATCCTCAACTCCTCCACCCTATTTTCCCTCCCATCTGGCCTTTAGACCCTCATCCTACCCCATATAACAGAAAGTCCTGAGCTTGTGCTGTGAAAGGCTCTGGGAGCTCTGGATGAGTTTTTTTCTAGGAGGACCTTCCCCAGCCTCAAAGAAGCCCCTTTGCTGCTTCCCCACACCTCAGCTACGATGCATATCCCAGGAGATGGCCTCTTCCAACCTCCACTCCTCCGGGAAGCCTTCCCAGCCTGACTGTTCCTCATGAGTTTACCCCTCAGTCTTTACATTCTGTGTTTGCTCTACACCTATCTGAACTTGAGGATCACCCTGTGGACATCTTACATTTACTTCTTTGTGCCTGTGTCTACCCATTTGGGAACTGTGTGCAGGGAACAGCTGGCCCAAGGCCTGGTGTTCAGGCAGGGTCTCTCTTTGGTGGCTGTAGAGAGGGAGGTGTGTTCCCTGCTGAGTCACGGCAGCCCTGACCTCTTCATCCTAATGAAGAAGTGTGTCAGCTGCTGCTACTTCTCCTGCCACATTTCATTCCTGAAATCTGACCTCTTCCCCTTCCAGCTCTCTAGATACCTCCCTAATCAGCCCAGGATCCTCAAGCCCTCAGCTTCCTCATAGTGCTTACTTGTTACAGTCCAAATTTTCTGCTTCAGGAAATTGGGAAATTCTGTTACTTTGGTTTTCAGGAACAGACTCCTCTTGTCTAGAATTTCTGGGCCAAGGACAGGGTCAGGATGCAGAAGGCAAGCACAGAACAACCTCGTTAATTTCACAACCTATTCATGTTTCCTCTTCCAACAAGTTTACCCCACAGGATCTTCAGGGCATATGCTTCATGAAGGGATTTTAGTCGGATAAATGAATGAAGAGATTGACCAGTATTATATGAATATTACACCAACTTAGGGCAGAGCCAGGCAACAGAGTGCTCCTGGGAGACCTTGCCTGGGATGAACCATCTGCAGTGCAAAAGCCCCAAACAGACAAACAAGAAACCAAACTCACTGCCATTGAGTTGATTCAGACACATAGCGACCCCCATTGGGTTTCCAAGGCTACAAATCTTTACGGAAGCAGAGAGCCTCATCTTTCTTCCGCAGAACAACTGCTGGGTTCAAACCACTGACCTTTTGGGTAGCAGCCAAGTGCCTTAACCACTACACCACCAGAGCTCCTTGCAAAAGCCCCAGAACTCATAAAATAACTGACTGTGTGCTTTCCTACATCCCATTGCAGACCTGAGGTATAAATGAGCCAACACCTTCCTATCTTAGCCACAACTAAGGGAGCTCTGATAGCTACGGCACTTGACTGCTAACCAGAAGGCTGGTGGTTCAAACCCACCAGCCACTCCTCGGAAGAAAGGTTGGGCAATCTACTTCCATAGTGATATCACCTTGGAAACCCAAGGAGGGGTTGCTATGAGTTGGGTCAGACTTGACGGCACATAACAAGCTTCACTGAATTCAATCCCCACAGTCCTTAGAGGAAGATAGTCAAAGGGCTGACCTTGGGCTAATTCAGCTTTAGCTGCTCCTTCTCTCCCCTTGGGGAAACTAAGGCACTGAGTTCCAGCCTAGTTGCCCAAGAGCAAGCTGAGGGGTCAGGAAGGAAGAGAGACTCTCCTAGCTCTGCCTGTCGCTCTGCTCCATCTCGTCTCTGAGCAGGCTGGCACTGGGGAGGGGGCGGAGCACCACAAGGAGGGGGTACAGAGCTCTCCCATCTGAGTGTCATTCTGGGCCCTGGGCCAGGCATTTGGCTTCCTCTCTAAGAGAGTCAAAGGCTGAAGCTGCTCAGACAAAGGGCCAAATGAAAGCTAATGGGGAGCTCTGTGATTTCAGCTTCTCCCCTTCCTCTTCCTGGGGCCTGGGGGCTCAAGTCCTTGGCAGGAGAGGGTGCAAATCAAGCTCTGGAGCTCAGCTCAGTGCAGATTCCTGTTTGCCTTTTTTATTCTCCTGGCATCCACAGACTGTCTTCCTCCCCTCACCACCTCCCACCTAGGGTGCTGTAAAAAATGCAAATCAGTAGGATTTTAAAATTCGAGCCCATGCCAGGAACACCCACAAACCCTCCATTAAGGCAGATCCTGAGGTGGGTGGTGTGGTCCTGAATCCAAGCACAAAGAGGAGGATTCTATTAGAGTCATTTCTCAGCATGGGCCTTGGACCTCAAATATTATCTGTGATGACCCTGACCTTTCTTTCTGGCACTGAACAAACGAATGGGAAAAGTCAGAATTGTGTATGTGTGGGCTGGGAAGACTCCAGTACGGAAAGGGGCATGGTATGGGTTCAGAGGATCAGCAACGGAAACTCTTCTGTGCCCCACCAGAGTAACCCAAAGTTACTGAGTCAGTAACTTTTACCATCTGAGTATCACTACAGAAAGGGCATCAGAAGGAATGACCAGAAAAAGGACCTTTTCAGATATGAGAAGGCTGGCCCTGAAGTGAGGCACACAGGAAGAGTGCCATGAGATATGACAAGGAAGCATCAATGAGAACACCTGCCACTTCAAACCTAGCTCTTTCCAACCCCCAAAGCTGTGTCCCAGGACACAGCTGCCAGGAGCCCTCCCCAGCAGGAAGAGTGGAGGGTTTGCAGGCAGGAATGGAAAAGGCTGTCATGGACCCTGGAGAGCCATGGGCTGTCACTTTCTGGATCCACGTCTGCTGTTGTAAGCCTGCGTGTCCCTGGCTTTGAGAAGTGAGAAGAAAGGGGAGGAGAGAAAAGTGAGACAGAGGTCCGACTTCAAGAGAGACTAAAAGTAGGAGACAGGAGCAAAAACATAAGAGAGAGCCTGGTTGACAGAGTACTGGACAGAACAGAAAGGATGGGTGCATGTGCATACTATCTGTCTGAATTCTGGTGGTTGAAGGGAAAAGAAAGGCGACAGGTGGAGGGTGGGGTTGGTATATGAAGTCAGTGGGAATCAACCTGGCCTTCCCATGGCAATATCCTACGAACCACTAACATAGCTTCAGCAGGTACCACCCCACCCCCACCCCGCCCCGGACCGACTACTTCTCACAGCCCCTGCACGCCCCTGGTCTCCGCACGCTCCCTCTGCACTCCCCTCGCTCAGATCTGACGTCTGGCTGGGCTCCCCAGCTCCCGCTCGAGATCTGCCAGGCGGCGCCCCTCCTCCCGTGGAGGGCCCTCCCCCGCCATTACAGCTGCCAGCCCCGGCCCCCTCCCTGCTGGCAGACAAGCCCGGGCAGACAGCCTGCCCCCGCAGCCGCGCCAGCTCTGCCAAGCCCGGCAGGGCTGGGGGCCCGAGGCGGTGCCAACTCCCCTAGAGCGGTCCTCGGTTGACCTCCTGCCCCGGGGCAGGGTTCTCCTCACACCCTCCTCCCGACGCCGGGTCAGCCCCGCGCGCTCGAAGAAGCCCCAGAGCAGCGCGAGCTCCAGGGCACAGCCCGTCCTGCTCCCGGCGTCTGTCGCTCCCGCTTTTTCTGTGTCAGCGCCCGAATTTCAGTCTCTGTGTCTGTCTGTCTCAGGGTATATATCCTCTTTCTCCCGCGGTTTGTGGCTCATTGAACTACATCAGTCAGGGCCTGTCTCTCTGTCTCTCTCTGTGTGTGTCTCTGTCTCTCTCTGTCACTTGTTCTTGTCACTATTCTCACCATAAATCTTTGCTCAAAGTTTCCTCGTGGCTCCTTTCCTTCAGGACAAACCCTGCTCTCTGCCGTTCCCTCCTTTCCTCTGCCCCACACACTTCTAGGCTCCCGGGGGACCAGGGCCCTGGACAGGTACTGTTGGAGCGGAGCAGCCCAAACCTGCCCCCAGCGCCAGCTCCGTTCTTACCAGCTCTTGTTTGAGACGACGCAAATAGCAGTCCATTTCTCTGCTTTCTTTTCTCGTGCGCCCATTTGCTGGGATCCGCTCCACCAGAGAGTCCCCGGGTGTGAACAACCGGCTGGACTAGAAACTGCGCGTTCGGCGGGTTGCTCACCTCCGCACTCCGCGCCTCTCTCCCAGAGCGGAGCCAAGCTTCTGCTCCCAAGCCGGGACTTAGAGCAGCTTCCCGCGACTGCTCTCGGCGCGCGGTCTGTGCTGGAGGCGGAGGGAAAAGTGAGACAGCCAATGAGAATTCAGGGGGGATGCATTCAGCCAATGAGAAGAGCGGTCTGGGCGTGTTGGGCTGCTGAGGGGGGACTTACGTCTCTGGTGTTTGCTCTAGGCGCGGGTCGCGGCTGCGGAGGGAGCTGGCAGGGAGCGTTTCATTTAGGCCAACGAGGCAAGACAACGTGACGCCAAGACCAGACCAAGGCCCAACAAGTACACGACCCTCTGTTTGAAGCATAGTTTTACAGGTGAAGACTGGGTGGTAGTCTAAATGAGTGACTTTGAAACCATTTCAGTGATTTCGGGGTTGAAAACGCCTAATACCAATCTCCTTTAACAAACTCCGATGAGAAGAAGCAACAACCCACCTCCCCAAGCCGCCAAGAAGCCCCGCAGAAGCTCTTTTCCACACTCTGGAGTGTGGTGGTTCCACCTCAGCTCCCAATGTAGGGTCCTCACAGCTCACGCCTCATCCAGCGGAGCGAAGATCAGACGCTCTGTCTACTGCTTTAACACAAAGCAATGGAGGCTCTACGGTGCACCCAGCAATGTTGTGGTCTGGGGATTCTGAAAAAGACGTTATATCTCTGCTCTCAAGAACTTGCATGGGAGAAGGGGCAGTTTTAAAAAGGTAGGTTTAGATAGCAATTTTTTAATGAAAACATAGGGGCTGCTGAATCAGTTACGCTAATTCTTGCTCCGAACTTTGGCGAAGAGCTTTGTAAGGTAGAAGGGATAGGACGCTCAAAGATATTCCGATTCTATTTAATAGATACAGGCAGAGCACCTAACGTGTGTCGGCTCCAACCAGGTTCTCCCAGGGGAGCTAGGGACCCTCCATGCCTGCCTCAGCGCCAGGGGAGCTGCCGTTTCCCCGCCCCCCCCCCCCTCGCAGATGCTCCGCGCCATCCGACCAGGCCCGCCAGGGGCGGTGTTGCAGAGCCAGAGAGTAATTAGGGCAATTAGCAATGTGTTGTGTCAAGGTAATTAACGCGGGAAGTTTGCCCTAGGCAGGCAGGGTTTAGGGGCTGCGCGTGGGACCTCCTTATCTTCCTAGAGCTGGAATCAAGAGTCTTGAGGACGCCAGAGATGGCGCGAAGGGAGAACTCAAGCGCTTCTGCTGTTCTGAAATTGTGTCAGACATAAAGCTCCACTTATGCTAACCAAAGAAAGGTGGAGGGAGGGGGGAGGGGGAGAAAGAGAGGGAGAAAGAAGGAGGAAAAGAGAAGGAGAAGAGAGGGAAGAAATATGAGTATCTTTCGAAGTGAAGATTCTCCACAGGCACTTAACCCCTGGTCCTCAGGTGGATTTTGCCTGGCGCCTTGTGGCCTAGGCCCGGGTGTCCCGGGTGTCCCGTTTGGACGACACTGGGGGCGGTGGTAGCCAATGAATAGATCAAAGAGAAAAGGAGGCTCAGATTATGCAGAACCGGTCCCGGGTCCGGGGCCCCGTGTCTCAGTGGTAGTTAACGGAGAGCATGTACCTGCCCTCCTTTCTCTGCCACTAAGCCAAATGTGGCGGCCGTCAGAAAGCCCGACGGCTCTGGGTTAGACTAGCGAATCTGTTCACGCATTGCCAACGTCCTTCTGCTCTTCCGGGCCTCTGCGAGTCTGGCCCCGCCGGTCGGAGCAGCGCCGCGGGCGGCCTGGCCCTTCTGCTTCCTTGCAGTGGTGAACTGAGATTCTCTAAGGGGCCAGCCTCCGTGGGATATGCTGGTTGTTCAGAGTCAGAGCTAACTCCCAAGGACAAAGGTGAGTGAGACCTGCAGGCCAGCGGAATCCAGTTCTGGATTTTAAACCTCTAGAGTTGGGATAGAAAGGGGAACCTAGCCATTGATACACAGTCTACAGAGCGACCCTTGAATGGGGGAAAAGATCACAATCAAGTTCCCCGCCTCATGGGTCTTGTTTTTCTCAGTGTTAGATCTCCAGCACCGAGCACAGTGGTTGGCTTGGAAGCTCTGAGAAAAAGTTTGTGGATTTGTGGTAGAAATTGTCTTCAGAGTCAAGTTCAACCAAAAACCAAACTCACTGCTGTTGAGTTGAATCTGACTTATAGTGACCCCTCCTTGGGTTTCCAAGGCAGTATCACTACAGAAGTAGATTGACCAATCTTCCTTCCCAGCAGTGGCTGGTAGGTTTGAAATGCCGGCCTTCTGGTTAGCAGTCAAGAGTCAAGTTTAAGCGTTACCTTTCCACATTCCTGAGAGCTCCTAGAGTTGGGATCCTTTTGGAAGTTAGGAAGCTGACTACATTTAAAACTCTGAGAGAAACAGGCTGATCTCTTAGGAAGTTCCTTGGCATTGGGGGTCAGATCTTCTATGCTGCTGACAACACAATATGACCTTGCACAAATCCTTTCATCCTTTTACTGCGCCTTTGTTTCCTTTGCTGATATCTTAAACCTACATGAGCCTAACGCTTCACACTCCTTACCAAACTCACTCTGTTCTGACAACTATTCTGTGTAGTTAGGATAAAGGGACTAGTTACTCCATGTTACAGATGAGGAATATATTGTTAGCAAAGCCAGTTCACGTTCTACCCACTGTTTTTTCCTTTAAATTATAGTATTTTGTTTTTGTTGCAAGTATACACAGCACAACACATCAATTCAACACTTTCTAAATGTACAATTTAGTGACATTGATTACATTTTTAAGGCTGTACAATCATTCTCATCTTCCTTTTCTGAGTTGTTCCTCATTAACATAAACTCAATGTTCTCTAAAGTTCCTATCTAACTTTTCAAGTTGCTATTGTCAATATGATCCCATACAGATTATTTTTTAAAGAGCATAATGCTCAAGGCAGAACTTAATTAATTATTATTATTATTTTACTAGTTAAGCTAAACTATTGTTTGGTTTTAAGAAAACTTCAGGGGATATTTTTGTACAAGGCTTAAAGATTATCTCTGGTCAATAGTTTCAGGGGTTCATCCACCTTCCATGGCTCTAGAAAGTCTAGTGTTGATGAGAACTTGAAATTGTTTTGTATTTTCCCTCTTTTGATCAGGATTCTTTTATAGAATCTTTGATCAAAATGTACAGTAACGGTAGCCTGGCACCATTCAGTTCTTCTGATCTCATGGCAAAATGATATTGAGTAGCTGTCTTGGGTATGGTGTCTGCTTCCCGTATATAAGAAACAGCTTTGGCAATTAACCACACATTCCATATCCTCCTCCTGGTCCTGACTCTCCTTTTTCCTTTATTGTTCCAGGTGAATAGACACCAATTGTTGTGCTTTAGATGACTCCTTGCAAGCTTTTAAGACCCCTGGCACAATTCAATGAAATAGGAGGTAGAACAGAAGCACTAAACACATTATTAGGCCAATTAACTGGGATGTCCCGGGAAACCATGACCCTAAACCTCCAAACCAAGAAACCAAATTCCATGAGGTGTTTGGTTGTATATAAGCAGCCTCACCGGCTACTCTTTCCATCCACCACCAGGTGTTGTTATAAATATATCTATCACACAGCTTTTGCCAAGTCAACTTTTTATAGGTGTACAACTTATTGACAGCAATTAAAATAATTGGCTGTGTAACCCTAACCTTAATCAATGCAATTTTCCCATCATGTTAACCCTCTTTTCCCCCCTCCCTAACATCACTGGTAACCACTAATAAACTTTGGTCTCTATACACTTGTCTTTTCTAATCTTTTTTTATCAGTCAAAACAAGGTCAAGAGCTGAGTATGGAACAGAACATCAATTTCACATATGCAAGGTCAGGTTGAAGCTAAAGAAAATTAAAACAAATCCATGAGAGCCAAAACATGACCTGGAGTATATCCCATGTGAATTTAGAGACCTGAAGATTTGATGTATTGAATGTCAATGATTGCAGGCCAGATGAAGTTGTGGGATGACATCAAGAACATCATCCATGAAGAAAGCAAAAGGTCATTAAAAAGACAGGAAAGGAAGAAAAGGTCAAAATGGATGTCAGAAGAGACTCCGAAAGTTGCTCTTTGAAGGGACATTAGCTAAAGTGAAAGGAAGAAATGTTGAAATAAAAGAGCTGAACAGAAAATTTCAAAGGACTACTGGAGAAGACAAAGTAAAGTGTTATAATGAAATATGCAAAGACCTGGAATTAGAAAACCAAAAAGGAAGAACATACTCATCATTTCTCAAGCTGAAAGAACTGAAGAAAAAAATTAAACCTTGAGTTGCAACATTGAAAGATTCTATGGGCAAAATATTGAATGATGCAGGAAGCATCAAAAGAAGATGAAAGGACTACACAGAGTCACTGTACCAAAAAGATTTGATCAGTGTTCAACCATTTCAGGAGATAGCATATGATCAAGAACCAGTGGTGCTGAAGGAAGAAGTCCAAGCTGCACTGAAGGAATTGGCAAAAAAAACCAAGGCTCCAGGAATTGATGGAATCCCCATCGGCATGTTTCTACAAATGGTGCAGCACTGGAGGTACTTACTCATTTATGCCAGGAAGTTTGAAAAACAGCTACCTGGCCAACCGACTGGAAGAAATCCATATTTGTGCCCTTTCCAAAGAAAGGTGATTTAACAGAATGTGGAAATTATAGAACGATATCATTAATATCACATGCAGGTAAAATTTTGCTGAAGATAATTAAACAGTTGCAGCAATATATTGACAGGTAACTTCCAGAAATGCAAGCTGAATTCAGAAGATGATATGGAATGAAGGATATCATTGCTGATGTCAGATGGATCATGGCTGAAAGCATAGAATACCAGAAAGCTGTTCATCTGTGTTTTATTGACTATGCAAAGGCATTTGACTGTGGGGATCATAACAAATTATGGATAACATTGCAAAGAATGGGAATTCCAGAACACTTAATTGTGCTCATGAGGAACTTGTACATAGACCAAGAGGCAGTCATTTGAACAGAACAGGGGGCTACTGCACGGTTTAAAATCAAGAAGGGTGTGTGTTAGGGTTGTATCCGGTCGTGGTTAAGTTTGTGTGTCAACTTGGCTGG